GGCGGGGCGGGGGGAGGAATCTGGACTCTTTAAAGCCCAGGCTGGAGGAGTAGAGAAAGGTGTGCATCTGATACCAGACTTGGTTTCTGGCCTTTACCTGTGAGCAGCCTGGTCCTGTGAGGTAGTTTTCCTACAGTCTCTTATCTTCTTAACTCTCCCCTGAGGGGCTCACTCCCCTTTCAGAGATGAGGACGCTGAAAATGAGACTTGCCTAAGGTTTGTGGTGAGGGGGCACGAGCAGATAGGACCTGCACTTGGGACAAGGAACAAGTGTGAACTGCCAGCCCCATTGCTGATCCAAATACCAGCCTTGACCTCCCCACTCCTGGTCTCCAGTGAGGCCAGGCCAATGTGATTCCAGTGTTTCTGGTCTCCCAACACCGCTCAGCTTCCTCAGTCCCTTTGTCTCCCAGGACCAATGCCTTCAACACGGGGCAAGACATTTAGCTCTGAAGGGGGTCAGTAGCAGCAGTGGCAAGGGAGGGGCCCTCTGGGGTCTTGAGCTGACAACCCAGGAAGCTGTGCTGGTGGGCAAGGGGGAGGGGTTTGTGTCCTGGAGTCCATGCCCACAGCGCTGTGCTCCCTGGTCCCTGGCCAGCCCATTCTGTCCACCTCTTCGGTGGATTGCCCCTGCCCTTAGTGTTGGAAGCTTCCTTTACAGAGGATTCTGGGAACCCTGACAGGTGTGTGTGGGGTGTACTTCCACTCTCCCTCTTTGCAAGGGCTCAGCCCCACCCAGAACATCATACCTCTAAGGCTGCATTTCTGAAATTCGCCTGCATCGCAATCACCCACATGACTTGTTGAAACACATGGCCGAGCTCTCCTCCTAGAATTGCTGATTCAGTAAATCTGGGGTGACTCTGAGAACTTAGGTATCTAACAAGTCCCCAGGTTATGCTGATGCTATACTGGTCGGGGCCACTGCACACCAAAGGATCAGCTTAGTGGGTCTGGGTTATCCCAACCTTGTGCATCCCAGAGAAAAGTCTGGCCCTTGCTTGGCTCCTGGGAAAGACAACCCCTAAGCCCTTGGACTATCCTGCGTACCTGGTGGCCTTGAACCACACCGGAACATCGATGTGAACCATGTGATTTGTAGTGAGGGCCTTGGGCTGTGTGGTACCAGTTTAACCTCTGGAGGGGCTGAAGACTAAGGTCAGCCATGACTGCATGGTCAGACTCCAGTAAAAACCCTGGACACCAAGGCTCGGGTGAGCTTTCCTGGTTGGCAGTACACCATGCATGTGGTCACACGCCGTTGCCAGGAGCGCTGTCATGAAGCGCTGTCCCATGATTCCACTGGGAGAGGACAACGGGAAGTTTGCACCTGGTCTCTCCCGGGCTCTGCTCCACGCACCTTTATCCTTGGCTGATTTTAATTTGTATCCTTTCACCGTAATGAACGATAACCACAACAGCTTTGCTGACTTCCGCGTGTCCTTCTAGTGGGTCATTGAGCCTAAGGGTGGTCATGAAGAACCCCAGGGACAGCCACTGCTCTGCGTTCTGGGACTTACTGATCTAAGATTCCTTTGCTTTAGGCTTCGAGGCCCCTGAACCAATGGAGTGCCTCGTCACCTGGCCTGAGGGCCACCCTTATAGGGTGCTTTGGCCTGCACCCCAGGTGCTCCATCTCCATAGTCCTAGGGGTCAGGAGGCTGTGAGCTGGGTGTCGCCTTGTGGAGTAACCCTGAACAGTCTGCCCAGATCACTGGGCCTTAGTTTCCCCATCTATAAATTGGGCTTTGGAGCAGTTCTGTCCTCCCTGAGTGTGACAGGGCCCAGAGCAGCCACATATGACAAAGCTGATAGAAAATACGCTGGCCTACGGGCAGGGGCAGTTTATTTTGCCTGGTTTCCCTGCTTACCATAGCCAGTTCTGTCCATTACAGCCCTACTCGCCTGAGCCTGGGACCCTGGGGTGCTGGGGTCCACAGGTTTCGGTAGATCCCACCACTCAGTGCTGCCCCTCCTGGGACCACTGTCAGGGCAGCAGCCCAAATTCCATGCTACTTGGGCCTAAGTACCCATCCTGCCCTGGCCTAAGACCAGGTCCTTGATCCAACACAGGGAGGAAAGACCCATAGCATCCACTGGTTATGTGGCTTTATTCACAGACTCAGCACTTGCTGAGGATGGAAGGAAAGAATATTTGGGGCCAGGCTGGGCCTGGAGATAAGGGTGGCTGGGAGGCCATGCGTGGGTGGGATCGGGGAGTTCACAGGAGAGAACCTGTTGGCTGGGCCAGGCGTGGGGAGGGGCGGGGCCCGGAGGCAGGCAGCATGCAGGAGACCTGGCTAGATCTGTATAGAGCAGATCTATCTAGGTGGTAGCTGAGAGCCAGGGAGGGAGGGACCGAGGGTTTCTCTGGGGCAAGGATTATAGGTGTGAGGCTGGACGGCAGGCACCCCTGCTCCTCACTCCCAGGGAAATGACATAGGGGAACAGTTAGGACACCTGGTGCCTGTCCTGCTGCTGCCTCGGGACACGTTGTGTGACTAGCCAAGATGGTCCCCTCTGCTGTCTTTGTCCTGCTGATGCTTGGACATTTGCTTTGGGGGAAACCCACAAAGGGATGCTCTGGGGACATTAGTGGAGAGGTTGGACGGTCCTGAAGAGTGTGCCTAGGGCCCAGCAGAGGGGGCTGCGCCGGCAGAGGAGGGATCCCCAGCCAGGGAGGGATCCCCAGCCAGGGGCCGCTCCCTTAGAGCCAAGCTTCTCTCAGCGGTTTGTGTCAGTTCCCTGCTGTGGCCCTAGGGGGTGCCATTTCCCACCAAAATCCAGGCCAGCCACTGGGCCAAGGATGCTTGTAGTGGAGAACCTTCTTCCTCCTGGCCCGCCCTGCTGGCTCCGGACAGACTTCCTGCCTGAATGCAAACAAAGAATCCAAAGGCCGGATCCCCCTCCCGGCCTCCTTCCTGGTGAAGAGCCCGTTCCCACCCAGCAGGGAGCAGAAAAACCAGTTGCCCCGGCTTCTCTCCCTGCCTGGGAATAGCAAAATTTGGAGAGTTGGCAGGGTCTCTCTGGGCTGTCCAGGAAGGTGGCCTAGGGGCCTGGGAAGCCTGGCGAGGACTGAGGAGGGCCCTGGGTCTGAGGTCCCAGTCCCTGCCCACTTTCTACCGGGCTCTCCCGGGACTGGGGTAGAGGGATGTGGACGAGGGGGCCGTCAGCATTGGCGGGAAGGGGTGCGGTGCACAGAGCCGGGGCGCTTGGGGATCTTGCGCCAGCGTCGCTTGTCCCAGCGGCAGAGCAGCAGCAGGCGGAAGGTGTCCCGGAAGGCTTTGTTGCAGAGCGCGTAGCACATGGGGTTGATGGTGCTATTGACGTAGCACAGCCAGTAGCCCAGCTCCCACAGGGTCTCGGGGACGCAGTCCTTGCAGAAAGTGGACACCAGCACCATGATGTTGTACGGTGTCCAGGTGAGGATGAAGGCCAGCAGGATGGCACTCAGGGTCCGAGCCGCCTTCTTCTCCTTGACCAGCGAGAAGGTCTTCCGCTTGGCCAGCTGCTCCTTCCCACGGGGCTTCTGGCCCTTGCCCGCCCGCTCGCGCCCCTTCCTGGTCGGCCTCTTGACTGTATTCGGGGAGCTCCGGGGGGGCTGCTTGGCGGGGGCCTGCGCCTCGGGGTCCACCATGGGCATCTTGATCACCACTTCGGAGCCAGGCTCCTCACCCTCCGAGGACGTGAGGGACTCCATGGAGCCTTCATCCTCCTCCTCTTCCTCTTTCCAGCTGTAGGCCTGCAGCAGCCTGGGGGCCCGGCAGCAGGGGCAGCAGCGCCCTGGGGGGCTCTCCGGTGAGCCCTCAGCCCCCGGCTGGGATCTCTCTGAGCTGCTGCTGCTGCCGCCCCCCTTACCTGGGGTCTCCGAGCCCTGCAGGGCTGCCAGCTCCCGGGCCCGGTTCTCCGTTTCCCGGTAGATGCGCCAGTAGAGTGTGCACATGACCGTGACAGGGAGGTAGAAGGCGGCCATGGCCGTGCCAAAGGTGATGATGGGCTGGGAGAGGAACTGGATGTAGCACTGCCCAGCCAGTACTGTCCGCTCCCCCACCAGATACTGCCAGAACAGGATGGCTGGGGCCCAGAGGACAAAGGACACCAGCCAGGCAAGGCCTATCATCAGAGCTGCCCGGCGTGGGGTGCGCTTAGCCCGGTAGCTCAGGGGCCGGGTCACGGAGAAGTAGCGGTCAAAGCTGATGAGCAGCAGGTTCATGACAGAGGCGTTGCTGGCCACGTAGTCCAGGGCCAGCCAGAGGTCACAGGCCAGAGTGCCCAGAGCCCAGTGGCCCATGAGCAGGTATGTGGTGTAGAGGTTCATGGAGAAGGTGCCGATGATGAGGTCGGCACAGGCCAGGCTGAGCAGGAAGTAGTTGTTGACTGTCTTGAGCTCTGTGTTGACCTTGAAGGAGATCAGTACCAGCAAGTTGCCTGTCACAGTGGCCAGTGACAGGAGGCCTGTGGTGATTCCAATGAAGGCCACTTGCCAGGGCCCCTTTCCTGGTGCCAGGACGGTGATGTTGGGGCTGACGGCGGGTGGGGCCGAGGTATTCATGGTGGCTGGGTGGGGGCGGGGAGGCAGCCACTTCCTCCAGTCACAAGACAGGGCTTCCTCAGGGGGAGGTCATCACCTGAAAAGAGAGGACTGGGCTTTGGTCGGGCTACTGGATGTCTCCCACAGCCTGGAGTGGAGGAACACAGCCTCCAACCTCCCAGAACTTCAGGCCAGACAGCGTCACCCTCCCTTATTGGCTTGTCCCTTCCTGTTCTGGTGTCCACACACGGTCATTTATAATGCACGTTCTCAGCCATGAATGGATTTGCCAGCAGCATGGGGGTGGGGGTGGCTTCGGAATCCAGAGCTCTGAGTCCTCATTCCAGCTTCGCCATTCAGACTCTGAGCCTCAATTTTCTCATTGGGAAATTGCTACTAATTCCTATCTTGCTTAACTCATGTGGCAGGAGTTGGGAGATTTGCTTTGTATACAGCGCTGCCAAATTTTCAAAGCATTTCACTCAATTTTATTAAAGCCCTCATTTACTGAGTGGTTACTGCACACCAGACACAGTGCTAAGCACTTCATTGAATTATCTAATTGAACTGTCATACTTCTCTAGGAGGAAGGTCTCCTATGATCTCCACTTCACCGAGGAGACCACGGCTCCCAACGGCCACATGGCCCGGCCACGGCGTTGCAGGTGGGGAGGATGATTGGAACCCACTTCACTCTCACCTTTGGAGCACGTGGGGCTCCAGTGGGATAATTCCATTAAACACGGAGAGATGAGAAGGCAGGGGCGGGCTCTGGAGAAGGGGAAAGACATGGGAGCAGAGGGGCCCCGTGTGTGTGTGTCTGACTGTGCGCACACGCGCGCACGTGTGTGTGTGTGCATGAGAGTGAGAGAGAGAGAGAGAGAGGGAAAGGAAGGCAGTGTTTGGAGCTGGGTCAGACCCTCTCAAGGCCCCAGGGAAAGTTATGCTGGGCCCGACACTCACCCGGTGGCAGAAGATCTGGAGTAAAAGCAGGCAGCAGTGGGGAGGGACTCAGCTCCCAGATAAGCGGAGTCTGGTCCCAGATGGGGTGTGGGAGCTCCCCCTACCTTCCTACTCTGTTCCTGAGCCCCAGCTGAGTGGGGGGCAGCAAAGGGAACGGGAAGATCCCCCAGATTTTCTTGAAGCTGGAGTCCAGCCCAGGGACTAGGCGTGGGTAAATGGAAAAGCCAGGACTCTTAGCAACCTTCTGGCCAGGCAGGAAGCACCCACAGCTCAGTCATAGACTTGCCACTGTATTTTGGGTGGTCCCTTCCCGTTCTGGGCCTTAGACATCCATCTGTCCATTGAAGAGCTTGGGGCCTCCTCCTGCCTGCAGCTATGGCTTCAGGGGCTGTCTCATTGGAAAAATTCCAAGGGAGAGACTTTGGGGAAGGACCCACCAAGCCCTGCTGTTCTTGGGGACCTGGTCTGTGACAGAGAAACTCGAGTGGTGTGCCTGGGAGGGGGTTGCTGTGTGATAGATGGCCTTGGTGTTGTGTGGCTGTGACAGTGTGTGACCCACAGTGTGTGTGGCTGGGATCTCTCTGAGCGGCTGCCGCCACCGCCCCGCTTACCTGGGGTCTCAGAGCCCTGCAGGGGAGTTCAGAGTGTGACATACGAACGAGAAGGACCGTGGCTCTCAGTGCAAACCGTCATGTGCAAACTGCCGGCCCTGGGACAGTTTGCACATGAGGGGGCACATGTAACATCCTGGTTGAAGGACCCAGATTCTGGAGCCAGACGGTCTGCAGTCAAATTCAGGCTACACCATTTACCGGGTGGGTGATCTCTGCTAACGACATAGCTTCTATGTGCCTCGGTTTCTTCAACCGAAAAATGAGGATAATACTAGTCCCTAACTAACAAGTTAAGGCATTATTAATCGATGTACCGTGCTTAGAACAACCCTGGCTGGAATCCCACTGCCCCTTAGCACGTGTAGCGGTGAGCGCCCCCTCCTGCCTAGCAGCGTTTGCTTGTTTGGTTAAAGATTTCTAACACTATGGCCAAAAGCAACTAGTACCGATACTGATCATTGCTGTTATTTAGAGCTCCCCGAGTGCCAGCCTCTGCTCCAAGTGCCCATGTGCCTTATTGCAGTTAATCTTCACGGGGAGCCTGTGACCTAAGGATCGCTCTTCTCTTCATTGTACAGATGAAGAAACGGAGGCTGAGAAAAGCAAGAGAATTTGCAGAAGATACACGAGTAAGGTAGGAACCAGGATTTGAACCCAAGCAGTTTGTTCCACTGAAATTTTATTTATAAAACCCGATGGTTGGCCCGGGGTGGGGGGGCGGGCATCGTTTGCCAATTTGAATTTAAAAGATATGACACTAAAATGTTATTTCTTTTGCTTACTAAGTTTTGTTGCAGCCTCTTTCCTTAACCGAAGTCAGGCGCTGGGCGGGAGGCTGAGGTCAGAGGGGCCTGCTGGGGCTTCCCTGGGTAAGGCCGCTGGTGGAGGCTGCCCTCATGGGTTGCCCTGCCTGCCTTTTGTCCCTCTGATCTGAACTCAGTGCTGTTTGACGCCCATTGCACAGATGGAGCAACGGAGGCCCAGAGGAAAGGGGAAGAAGGCATCGTGTAGCCCAGGGTTTCCTGGCTTCTCACCCCTCACACGCGGGCCCAACTCTCAGGTGCCTTTGAGCAGCTCTGTAGCCCCCAGGGGTAGCCCAGGCCAAGCCCTGAAAAGTCTTTATTAGAAGAGGAGCCTGCTGGCCTGAGGGGACCACACCCTCGGCAGCTGCAGAGGCCGCTTTCCATGCTGGGCCAAGCATCCCATCCACCATTGTGTCTGGTCCTCATGCCATAGCAAGGCTAGGACTAGGGTGAGGTGAGTGGGGCACTTGCCTTGGGTACAAAATTTAAGGAGGTGCCCCCAAACTGAGCAATCAAGAAACAAACGGTTTAATGCAATATGTAAAAAACAAAAATTAATGCAAAGCATCCCTCACGAATCATTTCAAACAAAGGCAGGATCCAGCCCTGTACTTGCACAAACACCCTTATCACCCATGCCCCGCCCTGATGCTGACCCTGGTTCCAATGAAACTTTATTTACAAAAATAGAGGGCCCACCCACCTCTGGGCTGTAGTTTGCTCTTTGATTCTGAAAAAAATATTATATTGCAATAGTATTTATTTTGATTAGGAAGTTTTTTTTTTTGTGCCTCCTTTCAATTTTACTGAGGCGAGTACCTCACGCACCTCACCCTGATCCTCCACACTGTGGACAATGGCCCCGGGTCTGAAGCTCAAAGCTGTCCCTTTCTGGCTGTGTGATCATTGGCAGTCATTTAACTCTCCCTCCCCTGGCTGCCTGTTTCCCTAGCCGATGGGGAGAAAAGCATCCGAAGCCCCTGACGTTGAAATGACAGTTAAAGGCCTCTGTTATTATTTCTGTCTCCCCATTTGGATCCACCACCTGGACCCTGTGGCCCTACCCCTTCACCTGCAGACCCTGAGCATGGCCCCTCTCTGGTCCCCAGATTGCTCGTTTGTACGGTAGAGGAGCTGGATCAGCCTGGCGTCTGTAGGGATTTTACAGGGTCCTGACCAACACCTCAAAACGCCGAGCAGAAGGGACCCACGACCCCGAGGTGAGGCTGCAGAGGCTGACACCTCATTTAGGATCCCTCAACCGGAGATAGAATGACCTCTCACGGTGGGAACGTGGCAACCACTGCCCATCACAAGCTCTCATTGCAAGCTAGGTGGGGCTTTGAGGAATTCAAAAAAGCCTTCAGAATGGGGGACCCAGGAGAAGTGGTTTTTGAAAGTGAGGAGGCTGGCGGTCTCTCTCTTTCATGGCCAAAAGTCCCTTCCACCTCTCGTTTTAATAGCCATACTGATAACCACCATAATTAATCACCTCCTACATGTCAAGCACTTGATGTATAATATTATTTTCCTTAATCCACAGGACATCCCAATGGGGAGAGGTTCTTATCTCTGTTCTACGAATAAAGACACTGAAGCTTGGCGGGGCTAAGTGACTCCCTGACAGTCTCACAGGACCTTCAGCAGTGGACCTGGGACTCTGGCCCTGACCTGTGGGCTCCATGGCCTGCGTTCTTTCTCCTTGGCCGACTGTGAGCTGTAAGGGCTAAGGCTTCCCGTCTGGGACAACTGGGGGAAGGAGAAGGGCAGAGGTTCTGGGGAACTGGCCCCTGATTCTTGCCACCTCCTGGGGCTTCTGAGCCTCTGGGATGCAGCTCAGAGCAGAGCTATCAGTGACTCTGACTTTCCTCCACAATCAGAAGCAGGTGTCCTCCCCCAGACCTCTCTCGGACAGTGATTTGCTAAGGAGAAGGTTCCTAGAGGTCTGTGTGACCTTCGGCGAGTCTCCTTAAGTCTTCATTGGGGGCAATCCTCTGCCTGTGCCAGGCTGCCGGGGGTCAGCAAGATGATGGCTGTGAAAGGACCAGGCTTTCTGATTGTGGCTGCTTCCCCCGGAGGGTCAAACCCTGGGCCGAGAGTTGAGGTGCCGGGGTTCAGCTGCGCTGCAGAATTTCTGCAAAGAAGGGGCTTAAGGGTCAGCCTTCCGGTTCCCCCCGAAGCTGCATTTGCATAGCACATTCTGTGACACATCCTTGGAGGGTGAAGTTGGTTGATGGGGATTGCAGTGGGTGGGGGAGGACTCCCCAAGGAAGTCGTTGCTTCTGACTAGCTTTAAGCCCTGTCTCTGCTCCTGTCTTGCTGTGTGACCTTGGGCAAGTCACTGTTCCAACCTGGCAACCCTTCCAGAGGATGAGTGTTTGAGTGCATGGCTGAGTAAGAATAAGAAATGGGGCGGGGCTGAGCCTATAGTTTTGTGGGGATGGGTTGGGACTCATTCCCTGAGGGTGTCCCTTCTAGGGTACGGGAAGATGGCAAGGAAGCAGGGAGGTGCTTTTCTGCCCTGGACTGTGGCCTCCTGATGAAGGTTGTTGGGAGCTTTTAGTAATATTATTAATATTATCATAGCAACTGGTATTTACTGACTGCTTACAGTACACCAGACATGGCTCTAAGCATTATATACATGATTTAATTGACCTGTTACGAGTTCTTGCAAAGTAGGTTTTATTATCCACAATTTGCAAAAGGGACAATTGAGGTTTTGAGGCCTTAAGGAACTTACAGCTAGCTCACCAGCACGGCAACCAAGATTAGGACTAGGAGGTCTGCCTCAAAGGCTAACGTCTTGGACCCCTACTCTGAACTGTGGGGAGGGGGGTTTAAGAGCTTCCTTGCCCACCTTGGATAGTTTGGCCAAACCCTAGTTTGAATCAGTCAATAGCGAGGAATCAGTCTTTCCTTAGAATCTGCCTCTGTGTGTGTGTGTGTGCATGTGCGTGTGTGTGTGTGTGTGTGTGTGACAGTGTCTGTCATTATCTGTGTGATGTATAATGGCAGTGTAGTAGCAAGGGGGAGGTCTAGTCCTCTGAGAGGCAGGGTAGGGGCTGTGTCTGCCTCATTTACTGCTTTATCCTAGTTCCTGGCACGTAGTAGTTGCTCAATCAATATTTGTGGTATAACTATATGAATATGTATGTAGGGTCATCCTGCTTGGCTTCAGGCTCAGAGACATGAGGATGAGCCTGTGGGGGTCAGGACCATGCTCTATACCTGCCAGCTCCCATGTCCCTTCGCCTGCTGGGTCCCTGTCCCCTGGGTGAGGCCCTGCCTGGCTTGAGATCACAGGAAAAGAATAGCCACGGGCATCCTCATCTGTGGACCAGAAGTAGACCAAGGAAAGCTTGCCTCGCCTGCTGCCAGGAAGCCGAGTGAGGTGACAGCACAGGCCTGGGCGAAGGATGGTGCCTGTTAGTGTTAGAGGAGGAAAGAGTCATCCTGGACTCAAAGAGTTAAGGGATGAGGTCAGAGCCTCTAGCACTGGCAGGCCAGACTACTGACCGCCAGCGCCCTGGACCAATCCCCTGGGGCTGGGGATCTGGATGAGGAGAGGAAGGGGGAGGGGAGAGAGCCACTGAGGGCGGCTGGGAGAGATTGCTGGGGAGAGGGACACCTGCAAGTGACGATCTTTGGAATCTCAGCACTGGCCAAGGAGCGGAGAAGGGGAGGCAGGGAATGAGGGGGTGCTGGGGACGAGATTCAGGACGGAGGAGTGAAGCCATCTTGTGGTTCTGGGCCTGGAAGCCGGCAGAACCCTGACAGGAGAGCAGGAGAGAACGGGCAGTATTGGGGAGAAGGAGCTATGAGGAGGCGGGATCCGAGGGGCTGGGCACCCAGGGCTTCACATGTGCAGTGAGGGGGGCGCTCCTTGGGCCGGGTCTCCTGACCGGTCCCTTCTGCTGGGGCCGTAACCCAGAGCCAGCCTGTCAGAGGCGGCTCTTTCCCCCTAGCGTACTTTTCTCTGAAGGTATCTCTTCTTGACCCATCCAAAGAGCCCAAGACTTCCCCCGCTGGTGGCTGGCCTTGGGAATGAGGGGTAAACAAGTACAATTTATTATATTTTCAGGCTCCACAGTCACCACTGGGAGCGCCAACTTGCCCCGGAGAGGGCAGCAGCCATCAGTTAAATGCTCATAAATGCACTGCTGAGCCGGAAGAGGCACGTCAGCCCGAGAACCACTGCCAAATGTGCTCACTGTCGAGGGGCCTGAAACGGTGGCCCAACTTCAGCCTGGCAGTTCGCAGGCCGGGCGCTAGACCTCACTCTGCCAGGCGGCATCGAGGGAGCGGGGCCCCTCGTCCTCTTCTCCACATGCCCCCCGCTCTTCACCGTGTTCCCTTCCCCATTTCCTTTCTTCTCTCTCCCTCCCTCCCCCCTTCTCCTAGGCATCACCATGGCATCACGGCAGAGCAGAAACCCAGTGCGATATTCACCCACCTCTCCCCGCCAGTCAGAGCCCAGGCTTCTATCTCATGGAGCTTGCTGCTCCCCCACCCCGTGCTCCCGCTCAGGCAGGTGGGAGTGCAGCGCTGTGCGGGGGGCGAGGAGAATGGGGTCCGACCCCCAACCCCTAAATAACCCTTTTGCGACCACGAGCACGTCCCTTCCCCTTTCTTGGCCTCGGTCTCTCAAATGTACAATGGGAGGTTCCTTTCTAGGTCCGACGTGACCACTGCCTGACCCCTTCTTGACACTCTGGGTCCTCCTTGCACTTCATAATTCCGTTCTTGACCTCCGGGCCCCACAGGGAGCTGGGAGTCACATCTCCTCCCCTGCCTTCTGTATCGCCGCGGTGATCACGGCTTGCCTAGTGGCTGAGGTCAAGTGGCAGAGAACTCTCATCTGACAGCTCAGTGAGCAGCCGATTACCCAGGGACAAGAGACTGTCCCACTGCGGGAGACGGTCTGACTCCTTCCGGCCAGTTGGGCAAGGCCTGGGTCAGGGTGGAGCTGCAGGTATGTTTTGTGGGAAGAGGTGGACTCCTGTCCACTGGCACTGATATTGATAACACCTAAGCAGCACTATCTGAACGACCCAATGGGAAGAGGTGGACTCCTGTCCACTGGCACTGATAACACCTGAGCAGCACTATCTGAACGACCCAGTAACAGCTGACCACCCCTCTCTAGCTGCCAGCCCAGGAGCTGGCAACTCTGCAAGAATCAGAGCTCTTGGCCCCCAGCCCATCTCCACATCCTGGGGGTACGGGGATGGGTACCTGGCATGGGTGCCCATTAGCGTCCATGCATCCCTGGGCATAGGACTGAGACCTGCCCTGCGGAGCCCAACATACTATAGACATAGGGAGGGCCCTCTGGGCCCCTGCACGTGTCAGCGCCACGTTCTCTGGCCGGCATGGCCATCCATGTGCCCATTTGTCCCCGGAGAGCCCTAGGGCCTTTGGGCTGGTCTCCTGCTGACTTCTGGCCCGACACCCACCTTGGCATCCAGTTTGTCCATCTGGCCAGCAGCCTGGTTCAGTCCATCTTGTGGGGGATGAAGATGGATGGGGGTGGTGGGATTCAGGATTCCCTGAGGGAGGAGAGGAAGGGGTTCTGGGACTGGTACCCCAATTGGGGGAGTTGGCCTCCCACAAAATGCTGATGTCAAGAGCTGCCCCTTGGCCCCCTGCCCTTTCCACTCTGTCCCTGGGGTCCTGGGGGCTGTGCCTGCTACATGGTAGCCCGATTCCTTCTGGTTCCAGATCCAGTTTCTTAAGGGGGTCTCCATATTCTCTGCAAACTGAACCCCAGAAAAACATCAGGTGTATCCCCTCAAAGCCAGGAGACAGGGCGTTTAGAGCAGCCAAAGTCCAATGCTGCGGAACGCGCTTGGCCTCTAGACCCCCTCCCTGGCCCCTTCCTCTCTCTGGGGTCCATCCACATTTCCTTCTAGTTCTGGTCCCTACCTCGCCCCCAGGACCCTGCTTCTCCAGCCCCCGCCTCGGTAAAGCCCCTCCCAAACCCTTCCGAATGTACTCACCATGGGGCCGGAGAGGGGTCTGTGGAGTCCTCGACCTCACTGCCTCCCTGGGGGCCGTCAGCGTCTCCAGGGACCCAAACACCTGGCTCCCGGGGGGAGCTGCGCCCTGTGCTGGCAGCCGGAGAGGCACAGCCAGTGATTGGCATGTCCCACCC